TATGTATACAACACATTCTCCTCGTGTTCATCGGTCCGTCGCGAAGAGGTTTTAACTCATTTTCAGGAAAATAACAACAACAACAACAATATACAACAAGAGGAGGAAACAATCACTTTTCCGTTCGGTTATCACACCGCATCTCGATAATAAGGACTACTTCGTGCTGCCCCCTTATGTCAGCTCGCGTGAACAGACACGGGCATCTACATACCCAAGCACCGAAGATAAACATCTTCACTTTATTATGCTTCTCTTTTATTTCTATATTCTTTCTTTGCAACAACAAAAAATAAATAAATAAGTACGCCTCTTTGTCTTATTCACAATGCGAGAAAGTCAAAGATCGAAAAGCACAATGGCGACAGCGAAAAAGAAAATAACTAAAGCAACAATACGAAGAAGACGGGTAGAAGTTAATTGGTTATATTGGTAATCAGGAAGTTCGCGTTATTTGTTTGGTTTCGGTCAAGGGCGAAGTAAAAATAAAAACTTATTACTACAAACCTATTGATTTTTGCCTCTTTCCTTCCGAAACAATAATACAATACATAATAATTAAGCTGGTAATTATTGTACCAGGTGCTTTGTAAAACTGAATAAATTCATGTAATCCTCCGGTTATCTCTTTTGGACAATTAGTACCGGCAATTTGTCCAGAAATAAAATTAGGAACACTATCGCCCCACATAAATCAGAAGGAAAGAAAACATACATTGTTTTACATCTAAAAATACATGCAGGTTGGAGCAGGTATAAGGATTGCTCCAGAAAACTGGAATCAATTGTCCATCATTCTCTTTTTTTTCCGTTTGGGAATGCGATGGTGAATGGGAGAGTGCGTGTCCGCGTTTTCTGTGTGTGTATACACCTGGTTTGTTATTTTAGGTCGGAGTTCCTCTGCAACCCCGTTCCGTTGCGGAGGGCAAAACTACCCTTCGCCTTGACCGTTTTTCCCTCCTCGTAACGGCATCGTCGGTTTACTACCCTCCATTCACCGGCACCGGTCATTCATGGTCTTCCCTCTCTTTCTCACTCTTAACCACACACACACACTCACTCGATGTTCTGACCATTGTCGTCGATGCATCGCCGTCGCCTCCCCTTTTTTTTTTCTCTCACCTAGAATGCAATCTCAAGACGACATTCCAACGGTTCATAAATCCTCGCTCGTTCACAATTATATCACTGCCTATTCACGCCGATGTCGGTTACATTCATTTAGCCATTAACAAAAAAAAATAACCGAAAATATGAGCAATTTTTTCACACGGTATTAATTTTTTTTTTGTTCATAACTAATTGATTTTCATACCTACATTTATTCTAAATTAAACATAATTCACGTTAATGTTAAGTTACAAAAATATATTGAAATTTCAACTTTAGTTTATGGGAATAATTTATACTTTATTTTCTACCAATTCTTTGTTAAAGTAAATTAAAAACATGTATATAAATTATGGACATACATTAAATATGTAAATAATTTGATTTTCGGTCATAAATATAACAATTTAATTATGATATGTTTTTAACAAGGTTATTCTTATAAAATGCAAATAAACTTCTATTTTTATATAACAAATTAGTAACAAGAAAAATTTGAACAAAGCGTTCGTTTCTATTAGATTTTAATTGTTGAATTAATAATTGAATTTAGAACGAAAAAATTGAGATATAATGAGAATTTCCAATTAAAGTGCAGGTATTATTACGTGATTTTTTCATTCTTTGTGTGCGTCGTCTCCTGATAATTAAATATTTCTCCTTTTATGTGGTTAATTGCACGAAGCGATGTTAGAAAGGTGTAATGGCGTTTTGATTAAAATCAAATTAAGTCATTAAGGCAAAACGAAGCAGCGAAAGAAAATGAAAAAAAAAATGAATACATATATATTTTTCTTGAAGCGTAAGAAGAATGGGTGGAATGCGGAGGTTGAGGGGATTTAATATGTATGCATTTTCGGGACGCGTTATTAAAAAAGTTGGGGGCGGAAGAAGGAAGATGAAAAGAAGAAATAAAGTGGCGGAGAGGGAAAAAAAAACACGAAATAAGTAAGGATGGAGAGAGGAAAATGGAAATATATATATATATTGTAGTGAGAGAGAAAGAGATGTTATTTTCCGAAATGGAAAATTCAAGTTCGGCCTCCGGCCGCAACAGCAGCAGCAGCATACGTGATATAGAGTGGATATTGTACGCAAAGGGCGTAAGTTATGCATGGGGGCGCGCATATGGACTCTGGAATGAAGTTAGCGGAGATGGAGCGCGCAAGAGCCGCCCCCTCTCGCACATATTACATCATAATAGAGACGAAGCACCATAACAGGTATCTCTCTCTCTCTCTCTTCATCCCTCTGTTTCGGCGTAGTACGTGTATTGCGCTATTTTCTTTGTGAATATCTCATATGCGATTTTATTAGATTAGACGAGGATGGCGGAGGGTGGGCGCCTGAGACTTCCATCAGCCTAGGCGAAGATCAAAGATCTCGTTTGTTTGTTCATTTGTTGTTGAGTTGCATTTTTCGTGTGTGTGGTTGGTGGTTGGTTGCACCATGAGCAAGTACCAATTTCGAAGCTTTTTTTCGTTGGAAAAATTTTATAATTATGTGTAATTTTGATTATAAGTGAGGGTAGGGCAGGGCGTCGGGCGCCGACTGCTGTGGACCAAGCGCAGTTTCGAGGATAACAATCGCGCTAAAAGGCGCAGATAAACGGAATGGTCGGACGCGGTACTTGTAATTACTAATTCCCACACTGCTCTAATCACGGCGGTAATTATGGGCTTTTTGTTCAATTTGGTTTTCGAGCTCTTCTCTCTTCTCTTCTCCGTCGGCTATTTTTCCCATGATTTCTCACGATTGATTTTTTTATCTGCTGCCCCTCTCTCTCTTTCTCTCGACACACGAAAGCCTACTTACCCTGAATAATTATATTAATAAGCAAATTGATCAATCTCATCTCCTCTCCTTTCATTATTATTATACTTCTACTTCAGGGGTTCTTCTCTACTCGCGAATAATTATAACATGGATGCGGCGCGCAACCGCACAATACGTGTGTGTCTGTATATGTATATTACATCTTCTCTGCTACGATCCTCTGAGCAGGTGTTACCAAAGTAAACTCTTTCTCTAAACTCGTTTTCGTTGCACTTTTACCATCATCGTCCATCGGGGATGGCGATCGTTATTAGCCCGTGCATCCAATAATAACAATAATAACCTCTGCTCTAGCTCTCGTTCTTTGTATACATATATATATATATATATGTGTGTATGTATATAAATATAATACACCACATTCCTTCTTTGTCCGGAGAAAATGAGAGCATTAAATATTCCGTTTTTAGTCGAGAATAACGATCTATATAATTGATATCTCGGGGCCATGCAATCAGAAACGATCTAGTGGTAAAATATTCACGCTGCCATAACTCGGGACTCGGAACGAGCTTTTAGAACAATATTGGATCTCCTTCTCTCTTTTTCACTCTCTCTCACAACTCTTTCTCTTTCTCCCCAACGCTGCTCGCTCCATCCACCTACCTTCTATTAATTCATGAAATTACGATCTCCGTCAATGCTATTACCTCAAAACCTCAAGTTTTTCAAAATAGAACCATTAATTTTTCAACCCTCAACATTTGCAATCCCCACATTAAAAAAATTACCACAAAAATACATTCATTAAATATTCAGAGGAGACACGAAAACACTTATTACATAACAGTGGATTGTTTAAAACGAAATTGTTATTTGCATGTATAATCTGGTAACGGCAAAACGCATAATGCTCCTGTTTCTAATCTTTAATTTTTTTTTTCTTGTGTGTAACATCCTTCGGGAATTGTTTGCGCATTGGCGTGATAGATAAATCCATTCGATTCGTTAACGTGCGACAGTTGACTTATTTAATTTCACACGTGTCGTATCTTATAAGATAAATATATGTAAATACACCTTGTAATTTTTCCTTTTCCTCTTATCCACACACACACACACACATAAATGATTTCAAGCAAATCAAGCTCTATCCTCATTGGTCGCACATTCTTCGTATTTCATTCCCCTTTCTTCGTTTTCTCTGCCATCATCACAAAGCTGAATAAATAATAAACGCGAACGTTATTAGTGCTCCCCCTTTTATTAACGCCGTGTGCGTATATTAAAAAGGAGAAGTAATAATAATCATGAAAGAGAAGAAGAAGAAGAGGGAAGAAAAAAATTGGTACGTGTGCGATGTGCCACTTTAAATACCAATGACGACTCGTGAACACACCTTAAATTGTATTAACAAAGGCATTTATTCATAAGGCCCCGCCTTGGTTCGTCTTCTCCTCGTGAAATAAAATTGAAAAAAAAAATTGAAATAAATAAATAATAACACACATACAGATATATTTGTATGAATTGAATCGGTATCGTTCTATCAATAAAGCTTACAATGATCCGCATTTATTGGCAGATGTTTTCCTTAATTTTTCTCGATTTTAAATAAACTCCTTGTTGCTATTATTAATCTCGGTGTACTTTATTATTATTTTTTTTGTATAACGCTCATGGGTATGTAAATAATGCGCGTTTAATAATATACGTTTCGTGCGGTAATAGTGAGCTTGTTTGTGTTCGTACTTTGAACAAGTTTTAGTAGAGCTTCCAGATAAACTAAATAATTGCGCTCGTAGGAATGCGAGGAACTCCAAATGAGATGTATTTGGAAAAGTAAATTTGTTTTTTGGAGCGTGAAGAACTCTTCAAGTTTTGATGATATTAGGAGTTACATCAAGTTTGTGTAACAATCAATAAATTTATGATGAAATTACTATAAGCAAAAAGTATAATACGTTGTTCTATGTACATAATTAAATTTGTCTTTTGTAGATAGCTTTACAATGAGAAATCAATTTTGTTGAATATTTAATATTAATTTTAATGTATTGTAGTATTATGTAACTAATTTTGTATCTTTTTGTTTGTTTTGTGTTTGTTTGCAGGGCGTTCGTTGTGCGAGCATGTGATGCGCCGCGATGCCCACTCTGTCCGCGGCGCCTGAGCTAAATTCCGGCGGCCGCAACGAGCGGCATCAACGAGATACCACTGCCGCCATGAGCCCAGAACAAGAGGCCAGTCCACCTCCAGCAGCGCCTGGAGCTTCGCCGCCCCCAGCACCAACCCGCCTTCCATCACCTGCCATGTCGCAGCAAGACACCTCCGACGTGGAGCAGTTCGCCGGGAAGATCGTCTACAATCCGGACGGGTCGGCATACATAATCGAGGATTCAGAAAGTGAGAGCGAGTCGACGACGACGACGCAGACGGCGGTACCCGAGGTGGTGCCACCACTTCAAGCAGTGTACGTGTCAAGACTGCTGCGGCAGGCGACGAGACCCACGGAACTGCCGGCAGTGCACAGTTACCGCGTGATCGCGCTTCGGGATGCGAGGCCTCCACGACCGGCCTCGGTGCCGGTCAAGCCCATCCTCATGTGCTTCGTGTGTAAACTCAGTTTTGGGTTCGCTCGGTCCTTCGCGAACCACGCGCAAGCAGAGCACGGTGTCACCCTGAAAGAGTCGGAACGCGAGGTTCTCGCAGCCGACTGCTCCGCAATCCTGCAGTGCGTAGGAGCCGACAAAAGGCCGATGGTATCGCTGCTCGAGCCGTTGAGCAGTCCATCACCTCCAACCTCCGAGAGCAGCCTGATGAACTCTTCAGTACCCATCTCGATGAACCCGAATCCTATGTCGACGTCGGAGACGCCGCCGAGCGGTTCTTCGCGTACCACCCCTGGCAAGTCGCCGTCCCCGCCGTTCGCGCAACCCCCGGCCTTCTTAACCGGCACCACGATCGGCGTCTGCCCCGAACATCTGCAGGGTCGACCCTCTGGCGCAGAGTGCGCCCGCTGCGAGATGATCCTGGCGTCCGGACGTCTCGGTCCTGCAGGACTCGGCAACGTCCACAGCCGCAACTCGTGCAAGACTCTGAAGTGTCCCAAGTGCAATTGGCACTACAAGTACCAGGAGACCCTCGAGATCCACATGAAAGAGAAACACCCGGAGGCGGAGACGAGCTGCATCTACTGCATAGCAGGACAGCCCCATCCGCGTCTGGCGCGTGGCGAAACCTACACGTGCGGCTACAAACCGTACCGCTGCGAGGTGTGCAACTACTCGACCACAACCAAAGGAAACCTCAGTATACATATGCAATCAGACAAGCACTTGAACAACATGCAAGAGCTGCAGAACGGCGGAGCCCCGACCAGCGAGTCGCGGCAAGCGTCGCCGAAAGCACCACCGGTTCACCATTCGCCGGTGACGAGCGGCGGCCACAAACCCAAACCCACCTTCAGATGTGACGTCTGCAATTACGAGGCGAACGTCGCTCGCAATCTCAGAATACACATGACCTCCGACAAACATACGCACAACATGCTGGTGCTCCAGCAGAACGTGAAACACATGCAGACGCTATCCGCCCTGCACCACCAACAACATCCGCAGCAGCACATGGAAAGTCTGTACGGAATGTATCCAGGACTAGGCGATAAGCCTGAAGCGGCTCTAGCTGATATGGCTTACAACCAAGCCCTGCTCATCCAGATGATGACCGGCGGACAGTTACCAGGACATGGAGCGCCCGCAGAAATGGCTTCACACACTGACATGGGACTCAATCCCGAGACGATGGAACCACCACCGGAACCTGCGGATCCTGATCCAGAGAGAACCTACCACTGTTGCGTTTGCAACGTCTTCTCCACCGACAACCTGGAAGATCTCGGCAGACATCTGGCGCAGGACCGAACCCGACTGAGAGAGCAGGAAATTCTGGCGGTGGTCGCCGGCCACTATGTCTGTAAATTGTGCACCTACAAGACGAACCTGAAAGCCAACTTCCAATTGCACTGTAAGACTGACAAGCATCTCCAGAGACTGCAGCACGTGAACCACGTGAAGGAGGGTGGTCCGCGCAACGAATGGAAACTCAAGTACGCTTCCGCGCCCGGAGGCGTTCAGATCAGATGCAACGCCTGCGATTACTACACGAATTCTGCCCATAAACTTCAACTGCACGCAGCTGGAGGCCGTCATGAGGCCGGCGTTGCGCTATTAAAGCACCTCGTCGATAGATGCTCATCTCTGCGACAGGAACAACCCAGGGTATTCCACTGCTCTCTGTGCAGCTTCTCCGCCACCAACCGACTACCTCTCCTGCAACACGTTAGATCTCTGAAACATCTTCACCTAGAGCAACTCCATCAGCTCCAGAGGCGCGCCGAAGGCAAAGAAACAGCGCCCGAAATCGGTGAAGTCTTTCACGTTGTACCCGGACCCATCGATCAGCAGACGCCTGGTAAGTCCATTCTTTTCTTCATTCTATCCTCTAAACACATCTGCACGAAAACATTACCGCATATTAATTATATTCCAAATTATTTACATCTTAAAAAAAAATTAAAATAAATATTATTTCAAAAATATCACAAACAAAATATTACTAGAAAATTTAAAATTATGGTTCAGTAATAAACTTTTTTTTATGGTCAACCTTCTTACTGCAAACTGAAATTTTAGGGCGTAGTGCAGAAATCAGCACAGTTGATAAGAAAACGATACTTTTTTTTTCTCGGAAATTCGTGTTTTTACAACGGTGATATTTTTGTTGCAGTGCATTATAACAATCTTCTGTACACCCACGTACCTTTTCTTATTTCCCTTCTTCATTTTCTCTCTCTCATCATACCAGTTGTTGCTTTGTACTTGTTTTTTTGCTTTTTCGTACGCCCCGTTGTTGAAAATGTGTATCAATTTTGAAATTGTTGGCGTGCGTGACTGATTATTAAAAAATTCCAGCTTTCGGTAATTCTTTAATGGACAGTTAGTTGCCTGCGAAATTATACGCCCGATTTTGCTTGTTATTTTTTTCTTTTCTCATTCTTCATGATATATTCTTTTCTGAGGGGGTTTTAAAGGTATGCTAAAATGAACTTTCATGTAACTGTATCTATACACAATAGGTGTAATAATATATAAACACAGGGCGTATCGGTGTTTTCCCCTCTGCGCTATATATATATTATTTTTTTTCATCTTATATTCACAATAGTTGACGTGTTGCTTTAATAATAATTTTATATCCCGGGGTGCTGTGGCATAGCGTGGCTTCGCCATATGTTTTATATATATATATACATACTGTATCTATGTGTATATGGGGATTTTTTTCTTATTAAAATTTGGATATGTAATTAGGAGCGTTTTCATTTAAAGGAGTGTTTAGCTCTTGGCTGTTGATAACAATGGCCCCTTGTAAATGATTGTTGTTATTGTCCTCTTCGGAGCTCTCGATTGAGACCGGGGCCCTATGCACTGTATATACGCTACACGTTTCCAAGATACAATGATACTACACCTCATTGCACGGAGGGCTATCCTCAGGCTATTTGTGAAACAATGTTAGTTCTGCTTTCTTCGCGAAGACAAGAAAGGAATGATGCGAAAGAAATATAAAGCGGGCGCACATAAATTATTGAAATTGATACACATTTGACACACTTTTTACTTATTTTTTTTTCCGCTTATTCTCTCTTCGAAATAACGAGACACGAAGTAAACGGGAGAAAAGCATTTGTTGTTCACTTTATTATTATGCAAAATACTCGAAAGTCATAAAACATCTCGTTTTTACCTCTATATATTATTTTTGGGGGTGGGTCTTTTATAATTGTTTGCTTACTAATTTATTTTATTACACTAATCTTCCGGGTATTTCATTCTATTTTATTTCTTGCTTTCTAATATTTATTTTAATTGCACGTAATATAAATTAATTGTACAAATAATTATTTTCGTTTTCTTTTTATGAATATGCATAATAATTTTGTTATTTCTCAGAAGCGCAAACTTTAGTTTTGGATTTTTAATTAAAAACTGTGTATATCAAAAATTCATTAGTTATATACAACCAAAACGTACAAACAAAAAATTCAATAAAAAAAAGTAATCGAGAGAAACAAGTGTGTAACATATTTAATTCTTTGATAGAGCGAAGAGACAGCGCGAACTCTGAAATTCAAAGCCACTCGGAGTCGCAAAAAGAGTTCAAATCCGAGCCCGCAGAAGATACCGAAGAGGCGAACCGCGACGCCGGATCTCAGCATGTGTGTCCATATTGCGAGTACACAAGCGATTCAGAAATGCGAATACAGGCTCATGTCTTGGCCCAGCACGGTACGAACAGTTCCTCGGCGGAAACGAGCTTTCAATGTCCTTTATGTCAGGATGCGTTCAAAGACAGGACTAATCTGGAGCGGCATGTCATGCAAATACACTCGGTGAACAGTGAGGGCCTTCAACGGCTCCTCATGCTCGTCGACCAAAGCCACTGGCTTAACCAATCCTCTAGAACGCCGACGCCGAACAACCCGAACAACAGTCAGCAGATGCAAACGCCACCTAATCAGCTGGTATCGCCTAATTCCGTGTCCTCAAAGGACTCGACGAAACTGGACAAGAGCGACTCCACCAATAACATGGAAATCGATCAAGACAATCTGATGTCACCGCACAGCGACGACACCGTCGACTTCGAATTCGAACGTTGCAGCACGTGTCTGAAGAATTTCAAGAACATCGACGAACTCTGCATTCACCAAAACGAGACCGGTCACCTGGAGATCAAGCAGACGCCGAGCGGTCCGGGTTACGTGTGCTGGAAGAAAGGATGCAATCAGTTTTTTCCTACCGCGCATACGCTTCAGATGCATTTCAAAGAGGTTCATGCTAAGAACTCGATCTCGCAGATGTCCGTATCGGAGAAGCACGTGTACAAATACAGATGCAATCAATGCTCGTTAGCTTTCAAGACGCTGGAGAAGCTGCAGCTTCACTCTCAATACCATTTGATCAGGGATGCAACGAAATGCGTACTCTGCGGTCGCAGCTTCCGTTCCCTTGTAGCGTTGCACAAACACGTCGAGAGTGTCCACTCCGAATTAACCGATGATGAACTGAATGCTTATAAGCATAGTCTGATGAATAATCCACTGCTGCTTGCAGGTCTTCAAGGCCAGGTTCTGGATAGTTCGACGAACGATATCCTGAAGAAAGAGTCGCTCCGCAACGATGATATCGAGTCTATGGATTGCGAGGAGAGCAAAGAGATGAACGCCAGTCACGACGATAGCAACGCCAATGACGGCGAGAATTCAGATGACAGCATAATGTACAAAGATCAGCAGTTCCTGGAAGACTACCTGAACAGCCAGGCAATAGCGGAAGACAGTTACAATGATCCAAACAGAAAGTACAAATGCCACCGGTGCAAAGTAGCATTTACCAGGCAAAGCTATTTAACTGCCCACAACAAAACCCTTTTGCATAGGAAAGGTGAGAAACTGAGCTACCCCATGGAGAAATACCTAGACCCGAATCGACCGTATAAGTGCGATGTGTGCAAAGAGAGTTTTACGCAAAAGAACATACTGCTCGTGCACTACAATTCCGTGAGCCATCTGCATAAGCTGAAGAGAGCGATGCAAGAGCAGCAGCAGAACAACAACAACAATCCGCCTGTATCGCCGACGGTGATGGGAGGTGGACAGCAGCAGCAGCAGCAACAACAGCAGCAACACAATATGTCGTTGACGCCGAAAAGTACTTCTTCGGAAGAGGATGACAAGAAACGGTACAGATGTAATATTTGCAAGGTTGCGTACACTCAGGGCAGCACATTGGATATCCATATGAGGAGCGTGCTGCATCAGACGAGGGCCAGTAAACTGCAAGATTTGGCGATGGCCGGTCAGATAGATCTTTCGAAACCGCTAATCGAGCAACCGGAGGCAGCAGCCATGCAGTCTCCGAAGCAGTCGAGTCCGACGCCCGGCAGCGGCAGTGGGGATAAGACGTCCCCCACCCCGCGGTCACCCAACCCTACAGGTAGTACAGGTAGTCAAGGGATGATTAGTTGCCCAAAGTGCGGCGCATTATTTAGTTCACAAGATCAGTTGAGTGCACATCAACAGTTGTATTGCATGTTTGCCGCTCCGATGGCCATATACCAGGCACAAGAGCCGGGCCAGGCGAAGAGTCCGCCGCCCGGTGAACAAGACATAATAAGCAGATTGAATTTACCAAAGAAAACAAGTTCGCATATGTACAAACACTTGCTCGAGAGTTTCGGTTTCGACTTGGTGATGCAATATAATGAGAGTCACCAGCGAAGACAACGGCAACGCGAACGAGAGGCCGAAGAGAAGCAGAGGACGACCCCACCAGCAACTGCGACCGAGGAGTCCGAAGCTTCCAGGGCCGAGGAGGATATTGAAAACAACTTACCTGAAGTAAGTAGATCCACGTGCCAACATTGCAGTAAAGAGTTCTCTAGTGTGTGGGTGTTAAAGTCTCACTGTGAAGAAGTCCATAAAGATTTAGTGCCGCTAGAATTCTTAGAAAAATATGCTCAACAGTTCAAGAATGAATACGAAAAGAAATCGGTGGTGGTGACTGCGGCGACATCCTCGTCAACATTAAACAGCAATCCCAGAGTGACGACACCGGGAGCTACCACAACCACCACGATGATCAACGACTCGACGCCGGAAAAAGAAGACGAGTCCAAAGAGTCTCTACATGTAAAACTGAATTTGCAAACGCCACCAGAGGCGACCTCCACGGCGCCATCGACACCGACGTCGTCTTCGACGCCTGCCTCCAGCACAGACTCGCTGCCGGCCAATATACAAGCGATGATTGCACAGACAATGGCACAGAACCCCATGGCTCTCGCACAGCAAATGTCCGAGATGCAAGCCGCCCTCAACGTTATGCAATTGCAACAGATGAACTTTAATCCTATGATGCAAATGATGGGCATGGGTCTGCCGCTGGGACTGAACGCCCTTGCCGCGATGAATCTTCAACCTCCGCTCGTGCCGATGATGATGCCGCCTCCACCGTACGATCCAATGCAACAGTTCGCGCCCCAGGACCAGCAGTCCATGATGGCGAAACAGCAGGCGATGATGCAGCAGCAACAAGCGGTAAGTTCCACTTTTCTCTCTATCTCTATATATATATTACTCTCTCATATGTCCTGTCACTTCGTATCATTCATTATCATCGTTGTTCATTCTCAAACTCGGTTAACTACAACGAAACTTATTTTCCTCGCACGAAGAATACACATAAAAATAACAATACAAGTTTGCACGGGTGTAGGTAGAAATTTTTAATCTGACCATTGTTTGAGATCACGGATATTTTTCTTTTCAATAAAACTTCTACCTGCACATGCACATAATGCATAATATAATGTATACATATATCGAACCGAAAATAAAAGGAGCGAAGAGACAATGGTGCACCCCGAATGAGGAGGGGAATGAAAACTATTTTCTTCCTTTATTTTTATTATTTTTTTTTCTCCGGAAAACTGAAAGACCGTTCACATTTGAATCGAAGGGAAAATCCTTTTTCTACACGTTTTTGTCGTGTCCCAGGCTCATTGTACTTTGTAATTTGGACAATGTAATTGATTTCCGAAACGCGCGCGTTTGTTTGAACTAACCGACGTTAATGCGTCCGACTGGACACGCCTCTCGATCGGTTCAATAAATTAAATAAATTATATTTGAATATGGTTCACATGTAATGCAACAAATATCACATATCCAATATTATATTAATAATAATATTGACAGCTCAGTGTATTTCCATATTTCCATAGTTCGAATTTAATTAGCGCCGTAGTAGTAACCATAGAGATCTGCAATCGAAACATAATGCATTATATTTCGGGTTACGCAATTCGAGCGCGCTGTTGAATTTCTATTTGATATTTCTATATTAGTATCATGATGTGATTACGATGTTGATGATGATAATAATAATAGAATTAACAATGATGTTGGATAGTAGTAATAGTTGGAGTTGGTTTGGTGTGCTCGGCATTACGGAATTAAACGCGCCGCGCGCTGGTGGTGGTAATTATGCATTCCAATCCATCTGACAATTGCGATAATGCCGCGGTTCCCCGATCCGACTCGTTGATTATTTTAATTGCCATTTGTGCGATGTAACCTTGTATTGTGATAATTATCGTAATTGATTTATTGCCAATTTGTTATTCTTTATTGGCGCGGTGCACATCCACGGTCTCAATATTGAGAACGTATAAATCTCGTCTTAAGTTATGTAGTAAAGTTGAATGGTTGTCATGTCCATACATTGTGTGTGTTTGTTTTCGCATAGGCCGTAAATGCAGCAGCCAATCAGAAACGTGCCCGAACTCGGATCACCGACGACCAGTTGAAAATCCTACGCGCGCACTTCGACATCAATAATTCACCATCCGAAGAACAAATCCACGACATGGCTGCCCAGAGCGGTCTGCCGCCCAAAGTCATAAAGCACTGGTTCAGGAATACGCTTTTCAAGGAGAGGCAGAGGAACAAGGACAGTCCTTACAATTTCAATAATCCACCATCGACGACTCTCAACCTGGAGGAGTACGAGAAGACCGGCGAGGCGAAGGTGATGCCTCTGAACAACTCGGGCAGCAGCACCGAAGAGAACAAAGCGAAAGAGACGACGCCGCCGCCTCCGGCGTTTCAAAGCTCCGAAATTAAAACCGAGATGAAGGAGGAACCAGTCGATGAGACGGTCAGCAAGTACCATCACGTTGATGAAAAAATGCACCAGGATCCGACGGACGAGAAACCAAACATATTCAATCTTGCTCCACATCTGCAGCCGCCCCAGAGTCCGGCGTCTTCGATGAGCAGCACCGACAATCAGCAGGTCAACAATATGCCATCAACATCGAACAACCTGACCCTGACATCGATCATCGCCTCTCAGCTGGGCGACAGCATAATAACCACCAACAGTCCTACATCGATCAGTATGACTCCTACATCAAACCATCCTCTGAGTAGTCCGATGCTGCCGCCACCGAAATTGAACCAACAATCCTTCCCGACACCGAACAGCCTGCAAAATATGCTTCCATTAACACCAAACCGATGTCTCAGTCCGAATCGCGATTTCGGAATGAATTCAAACAGCAACAGTTCGACCGGAAGTACAGGAAAACGCGCGAATCGTACGCGCTTCACCGACTACCAAATCAAAGTCTTGCAAGAATTTTTCGAAAACAATGCTTACCCAAAAGACGACGATCTCGAATACCTTTCGAAGTTGTTGAGTCTCAGTCCGAGAGTGATCGTGGTGTGGTTCCAAAATGCCAGGCAAAAGGCGAGAAAAGTATATGAGAACCAACCGGCCGCGGAGCCATCCCCTGGGATACCGGAAGAAGGTGGTGCAAACCGTTTTCAAAGAACGCCAGGGCTAAATTATCAATGCAAGAAATGTCTATTAGTTTTCCAGAGATACTACGAGCTGATCCGCCACCAGAAGACACACTGTTTCAAAGAGGAGGATGCTAAGAGGTCTGCCCAAGCGCAAGCAGCAGCAGCTCAAATAGCGGCGGTTCTCAGCTCCGAGGATTCGAACTCGAGCACGACGATTGAACAAAACGTGCAGCAACCGCCGGTACCGCAAAGCCCGCAATTGCAGACCACTTCTCCGAGCCCGAACCACCACCAACAACAACAACAACCACCGCAACAGCAACAACAGCAGCAGCAGCAGCAGCAACAACAAGTACAACATCATTTGCAACAACCAAATTTATCTACAACGCCGACGCCGACCAACCAAAGCTATCAACCGTCTTCGCCGCCGAACAACGCGCAGCCTGAATCCAAAGACGGAACTTTCCAGTGCGACAAATGCAATTCCATCTTTCCGCGTTTCGATTTATGGCGCGAACATCAATTGGTCCACATCATGAACCCGAATCTGTTCCCCACATATCCTCCAGACTCTCCATTTGGAATACTACAGCAGCACGCTCAGCTGCAGCAATTGAACGCGAACTTGGGTGTACCGGACATGGTAAACAATAAGTCGTCATCGCCCATCCAACACCCTCTGATGAATATGTTGAACAACGTAACTGTGAAGAGGAAACTGGAAGAATACGACGGCGAAAGCGACGTTTCCGATCAACCCAAGGATAAGAGATTGAGGACGACAATACTGCCAGAGCAATTGGATTACTTGTACCAGAAGTACCAAATCGAGAGCAATCCGTCGCGGAAGATGCTCGAGAACATCGCGAGAGAAGTGGGATTAAAGAAGAGAGTAGTGCAAGTGTGGTTCCAGAATACGCGTGCCCGTGAACGCAAAGGACAGTTTAGAGCTCATGCACAGGTCATCAATAAACGGTGTCCCTTCTGTCCGGCATTGTTCAAAGTAAAATCGGCGTTGGAATCGCATTTAACAACGAAGCATGCAGATCAGTGCGCCCGCGGTGAAATCAATATCGACGCTCTGCCAGATGAAGAAGTGAGCCTGGAGTCATCGCCGAGCCTCAGTTCGGGCGGCGACAACAAATTCAATCCAGGTCAAAACATGATGCCACCACTATTTCCAAGCCTCCATCCAGATATGGAGAACTCCATAAAAAAATATTACGAGGAGAGCATGAAGAGGTACATCAGCGAGCTGCAAGCGCATGCCTCGAACGGAGACAAAAGTGAAATCAAAGGTAAAGACGAAGAAGGTATCCCTTTAGACTTGTCTAAACCGGTGGACTTATCGAGACCGATGAAAGTGAATATGGATCATGAGAGGAACCTGTGTGATCCAGGTCCGTTGACGGACCTCAGCGAAAGGTCATTGTGCGACGAAAGAAGCGACTCGATGTCAGAAACTGCTGACTACCTGGACGACGAAAGCAATCCGACGTCTCCGGCGAGCAGCACGCAGAGCAACAATCCTCAAAGACTTTCGTTAACTCCAAACTCGTCCTCCAATAAGCGATTTCGGACGCAGATGTCCGCCGTTCAAGTGAAAATCATGAAGTCGCTATTCAACGATTATAAGACGCCTACGATGGCTGAATGTGAGATGCTCGGCAGGGAAATCGGCCTTCCAAAGAGGGTGGTGCAAGTGTGGTTTCAGAACGCGCGAGCAAAGGAAAAGAAGGGTAAAATAGCTCTTCAAAAGGTGCTCGGTGGACCAGAAACTGAAACTTCGCCACCTCTTCCGGACGACTGTAAATACTGTGGCTTCAAGTACTCTCACAAGTACTCGATTCAGGATCACATTTTCACGAAGGGCCATATCACGAACGTGCGAACGCATTTGGAGAACATGAGCAAAGACGGCGTCAACGATGGAGAATTCACGGTGCCTCCTATTCCTGGCGCTTCTGGGACCGTTTCCGCGGATTCTACGACAAATCCTCAACAACAACAACAACAGCAGCAGCATCAGCAACAGCAGCAGCTTCAACAGCAGAGCATGAACAACAACACGCATCTGCAGCTACTTCAGATGGCCGGTATGCAGATGGCTGCGGCGGTCAAGAGCGAACCGGACGAGAACCAGGAGGCCCTCTTTCAGCAGCTCTACGCCCTCGGAAACACGGGATCGTACGGCGGCTCCCAGAACCAGTTCATCCACCATCCAATGTTCGGTGCCAACGGTGAGTCCAACTTTTAATATTACTATCGTCTCATCCCCTTTTCCAATTTGCAATTTAAGTATGTCTTGTTTTTGTTTCTTCCTTAATCCGCGTTCGTATTTCGTAACATTGGGTAATGGTAGAGCGCGCGCGTGTTTGTGGGGTTTGAGCGGAACCACCACCGCCATCCCCACAGAGGGCGGTTTTTATTATCTCTCTCTCTCTTTCTCTCTCTCTGTTCCATGCTGGGTGTATGAATTGTTTTCTACGGAAAAATGAGAAATATAGATTAATATTTCAAGTCCCCCTTGTGTTTCTCATATGAATTCGTAATGCGGCTCTGGCTGTGCCTGGCCTGGCTTGGTTTGGTTGGGCCAGGGGAAGGAGGCGGTGGAGGTGGAGGAGGCGGCGGACGTCGTACGCGCCGTCGTCAATAATATATGGTGCACGTCGCGGCGCCCCGGATAGAATACGCCCGCCGCCGTGCTTGATGGAATATTGTATGGAAAAGATAAAACTTTATTTCTCCGTAAATGAACACATTTCTCATTTTTGATATCATATTCAATTAATAATGATTTTAGCGTTGCCGGCTGCTCATGCCCCCGTTTCTTTTGCTGCTACTTATATTCCGCCACTTCTGGGGGAGCGCGCAACCGCCCTTTCCTTCCGATGGGTCGCGTCACGTTTAGGCCATAAATTTGCTTCGGATACAATAGGTTTTATCCATATCTAATAATACCCAGCATTCGTCGTCGCATGTGTCCTTTTTTTATGCGTCACCCAGATTTATGGCATATTAAAAAAAAAAAGAGGAGAAGAAACTGATCCGATGGATGTGTGTCGATACCCCATCGATGCTTTCTTTGTCTGCGACGCCCCACGCACATATGCTCATTCCTAACATAAAAAATAAAACTGCAGGAGCAAATCTCGCGCGCTTTGATTGCTTTTAATCAGAATAACGACAACGATGTCGTCGTTCGGTCTCTCTTCTCTTGCCAGATGGTGATGGTCGGTTTCGGTGATGGAACGCGAGCTGCTAATTGTCCGGAACGGGTCCGACCTTGTCTCGCCACGATACAGTGACGGACCAGTTCTTCTAAACAAACGCAACAGAAACGGCTCAACAATAACAGAAGAAGAAGAAAAAAAAGATAAAACGGGGGACGCAATCTTTTATTTCTTCGTTGCTTCTCTTTGCGGCGCAAACAAAAGTTTTGTTATTCTTCGACCCCGGCTAAATAGCAGCTGTTTTTATTTGCTGCTCCCTTTTCGCTCGTAGCCTAATGATAAGTGATCTCAGGTAGTGCCAAAGATGTGTCCCTTTCGGTTCCGATTCCTATTCGCACACCTGGCCCTATCTTCACTCACTCTCTCTCTCTGTCACACCTCACCCCAAACAAACAGCAGGGCTGAGCAAGAGGCATGGTAAATCGTGGTGTGTCCGCTGTGTAAATAAATCGTAACCATTGAAGAGAGAGGTCTACTGTTCCTTTCTCTGTTTCTTTAACTCTGGTCACCTCCTCGAACTCGTCGGTACACGCCGGTCGCATTAAGAACAAATTCAATAAAAAGTAGTTTCGTAATCGCGCACGGAGCCAGGCTCATGTAGTGTGCTGTATAGAGTACTCTCCCATCCAATGGCGTCGGAGCGTATTCCGGTAGCTATAGAAACCAACTACTTGTTTGTCTTATTGCGAAAGTAGAATGAATCCCGCGAACCCGCCCAGAATCATCACGTCTCTTTTCTTCGTTTACTCCTCGTTGTTGCTGTTGCTGCTGTTACTACTACAACAACACTTCTTCTGCTGCTGCTGCTGCTGCCGTCGCCTCCTCCTCTCTCTCCTCCAATCCATCCATCGATGGGTTGGATGTTTTTTATTCCTTCATTCATTCATCATCATAGAATCATCTCATCTCATTTATATATTATATATATGTACAGAAAGAGCCCAGACCGAAGTAAATATGCAACAATGGGTCAGCCGGGTCTTGTGACCGCACGACCGACCCACCATCCCATGCCACCTCGCTTTGGGCTCTCTGGCGCAGTCAAATTACACACCGGGTGGGTCATTAAAACGCCGCAACCGACACCTCGGCTTTACTCTTGTGTCTGGCTGGGTCCGTCCGCCTCGGCGCGGAATAGTTCGTAAATAAGTACACTATAATTTATAACCTTGTTTGAGTTTAATTCATACATCGGCGTCCTTCTCTTCCACGCACACACCGTGTCCATCTCTCACCTCGACCATCGTAAATTATCTCATTTTAAGTATTGTTGTAGACCGTGCGTTTCGCGTTTCATTATTAAACAGCGAGAACCGAAACCTATTCGAAAGATTTAAAAGACGCACGCAAAAGAAAAGAAAAGAAATATTATTTACCTGCTTAAAGAAGAAAAGAGAGAAAATAAAGCAACTAATTAATCTGTTTGTACTCCATTCAATCACTCGATCAAGTTACTGGCAACACCCAGAATATATACGCGGCTCTGGGCTCAATTTACCGTCTTTTTTTGCGAAGCTTCATCCTCACGAACGACGAAGATCAGATTTCGAACAGTAGCAGTTCGTTCTTTGTTGCTCTTCATCTTGCATCGTTCATTTGCCTTATTTTCTCTGATTATACTCTCGTTTTTTTTTTTTTTGTTTGTTCGTCTTATTTTTACTACTCGTCGTTGAAGAAGTGACGGGAATAATTATTTCTTTCTCGGTTGCGCTGCTGTGACTCATCAGAAAAAATTCGGCGAGTCATCGATCATAAGTTGAAAAATTAATTAAATTAAACATGCCCAGGGCCCAAGACCTGTTCTCTCAATCTCTCTTCATCTTTCTCTCTCTCACACACTTTCAACAACATTTGCTTGTTGTGGTGAGCTGGGTGGTAAATTTTCAAATATAGATTGGGTCTCTTGGGTGTAATCGCGTTTGTCCTATTCTCCTCCTGCTCACGATTACAGTTCGGGGTATTATCAAGTATTTATTTCTTTTTCTGCATCTGGACGTGACGTCGGTCGCAATGTCTTGTTGGGAGAGAATTCATCCGGCGGTGTAAATAAACAATTTCTATGTGAGGTCCTGCGGTAGTCGGGAGAAATAAAGTAGCCCGGGGGTAGGTCCTCTGTTTGCGTGGGTGTGATAGAGACAGAGGGATCGAAGAATGGTTGGAGGAGAAGGAGACGGAGAGAAGTAATTACTGCTCCTCCCCGGGTTCGTGGGAGTTTTCTTGGAATAAAGTTATCCTCGGCGAGGACGAATCCGGATCCAATCTCTATTAGTTGTCTCTGTGTCGAGCTAATTGGCGGAGGTTTTAGGTGTACATTGGGGGCGGCGTCCGTTAAGACTTGCGCGATACAAGCCAACCCCGACGCTTCGGAGGCGGCTGTAATAAACCCCTTTTTCTCTCCCTTGATTATGTATTTAACACATGCAACACGCCTCCGCAGAGAATTGATTTGCGCGCTTCCCGGGTCCGAGAACTAATGATGAACGCAGGACGATGGTTACGAACCTTATTCTTCTTCCTGCATTGCTGAGGACACGTCGTAAAGTGCAGAAATCGCTAAATGGTATCGTTAGACACGCGACAACGACCGTCGGTATGATCGAATGGCGGTATAACAACTCATAACTCTGTTTAGCTATGCCTGATGGTCGATGCCTAAGATATTTGACATTCTTCAGGTCTGCGGCGAACTTTATTACTATGAGGGGGACGAGCCTTTCTTCTCGGGGAATTATTATACTTCTTCTCTCATCTTCGTCTTCCTTCCTTTTTAAACGTGGTATTGATCGGAGCGCGCGAACTGCCGCCGTTTATAAAACGTCCCTCCGTGCCATTGACAATCCACCATTTGCAAGACAAACGCATAGAGCGTCAATTCGATTTATTTTAGAGACAATTTAAGCGATTTAAAGAAATGGGCGATACTTAAACGGGGAGAGCGGATCGCAGACGGGGTGGAAGGAATAAAGGGCCCAGGGGTGAACAAGCCCGACTTATCTGCGTCCGACTCGAATTGGAATATTTTAAATTCGCGCTCTCCTATCTATCTGCGCTTTTTCCCTCCTTCTCTCCAAGGGATACACACACATACATCCACCACCCCCAAAGGCAGCAGCGGCAGCAGCGGCTGGAATTTAAATTCGAGTCCGATGATTTATCCCGTTCCAATTTATGGTTTGCGCCTAATGTATTATGCACCCCCCCGGTTAGAGCAAATGTATTGGTTTTTCCCTCCCCCACGTGCGCCGTAAAAAGGGTTCCAAAAAACACAACAGCCGCGCGTTAATCAATCAATAACTCTAATATATCGAAGAAGAAGGTTCGGGCGGGTCGCCCAAGGCACATGGTTAGCAGCAGCAGCAGCAGAAGCGGCGAGTTCTGGTTAACTAACCGGATGATTTAATCACCCAGCAAAGCGGAAAGACTGTCTTAACAATTTCGCTACCGAATTAAAACCAAACACACTAAGAGAACGAAAGAAAGAGAGAGGGTGTAATTAAATCCCTCAAGGGAACGCTGCGCTCGCTCTCCCATTCCATCTTTTCCAACCATCATCATCATCTTCGATTCAACTTTTGTATGCAAGCACAAGATATATTCGGCTCCAATTTTTATTTGGTGTGCCGCACTCAAAAATCCCGCACCGAACGCGGAGAACTGAAATTCATTACATGCTTGGCTTCATAGGGAGATTGTATTTTTTTTTTCCTCTTTCCCTCATCTCCTCTTCTTCATCTCCCACGTATCCAAGCATTTTCCAGAGGGGAGCCCGCGGCGATTGGAACGTAAAATAAAGTCATAATTTCGGATACGTCCCTTTTTCTATCCACTTTTTTTTATTCCTTTCTCCCTTCTTCATCTTAAAATTACATACAATTGTTCCACGCGCAGGTGCACCTCTCTCTGTAATCCCGCATCCTAATCCTCTCAGGTAATTCAGAGACTTAATTGCCAAAACGAAAAAATATATAAGTAAAAACCGTCCTCTCGCAACCCATTAATCATGCAAC